ATATGAACTGACCAAAATTCTAGGAATTAAAACCAGATCTGATTGTACATTCAAAATAACTCTCATTATACCAACTTTATTTCTAGAAACATCTAAAGTTAAAATATGGCTAATTATTTGAGATACATTCAAGTCCATTCACAGGACATGAAAGTCACCTTCCTTCTTTCCCATTCTAGTTGCCATCACTCATGAGATTTTGCTGTGCATTTCATAATGAAGCCACTGCATTTTATGTTCTTTCCTATTTAAACTTTTCATTCTTGTTCACTTTAAAAAATAGAGTTATTTTGATATTAGCAATAACTAATACATGCTCAGTGATGAAAAGAAAAATAAGAAAAAATTTATTATTCAAAGGTAACCATTACTAGCATTTCCTATTTATAGTTATTATTTTTAAATCAATTTTATTATGAGAAAGAATTTCAAGGTACTGCAGAGATTTTAGTCTTTGATTTATCCATATGTTTTTTCAGATCATTGACATTGCTACCTTAGATTGGCCCCCTTTCTAATTAATCTTACAATCTAGTGGTCAACAATTCTGTCTCCTTTTTAAAAAGTTAAATTTGGAATGTATCGTTTTTTAGTGTTTCTAGAGTCTCACATTCCCTCATAGTAGGTCTCAGGCAACTTCCATGTCCCTAATCACCTCCCAGTGTGTCCCACCACACGGGTATTCCTGAATGAATATGGGCAGGTCAGGATCTTGCCAACAGTTCGTTGCTCACTTCCTCCTTACCAGCACTCTCTATGCCACCACTCCTCCCATCTTTGTGTTGTCACACATATATTTGCTGACACTCATTTGAATTCTCACCACACTTGCCATGTTCCCTTCTTGCAAGTCCCCTGGCACCTCTTCCTTCAGCTGGTGTGCCCTCTTTTTTCCACCTCATCCTTAGACTCAGTGCTCCCTCTTCTATTAAAAAGAATGAGTCATTTCACCTCCAATCTTCCCTTCTTGGCCTCAGTCCATGTCCTATTGCATAGGTCCTGATAGACACACGGCCAGGCCGCACATATTCCTCCCACCCCTGCGTGGCACACACACACTTCATGGAAATACTTCATTCAAATGCACATGATTTTTTTTTCTGAAACCAGGCCAGTTGCTCAGTGTTCACCATTATAGGCAGATACTGGGTGCAAAGGAAAAAAGAAAAAAGACAATGAAAAACAATGACAAGAGCACCCAGCCAATCAGTATAATGTCCCTTCTCTCTTCGCACAATCAGCTGCAGCTGTAGGCCCTTTATCTTGAGAGTTCATAGGATAAAGCACACACGTAATTAACCCAAATAAACCCACTTTTGTGAAAAAAATTTGAAGACTTCAGCACAAAAGAGCACTTTTTGGTTCAGATCCTGTACTATTCTGAATTTAAAAAAAAAATACAGAAGCCTCATCAACAGTACCCTAATTAAACTCATCAGTTCACAGATGTTTACAGGAAAATGCTCAGCAAAAAATTTTCCCAAGGATTTCTATTTCCTGGGAAGAGATAGATGATGACAATAGTAATACTAATAAGAGCTACCATTAATAAGTACTTCAGTGTGCCTGTCACTCCACAGAGGCCAATACATTTAAGTCCATAACCGTTTGAGGCAGTGATTATTATCATACCTATTTTACAAATGTCAAAACTGAGGCTAAGAGGGGAAATAGGTTTCCCAAGGTCACACAGCTGGAAAGTGCCAGGCCCAGGGCTCGGATCCTGGTCTGCCTGACTGAAAAGCATTTACCCTTAAAGATGACAGCTTGTTGACAGTATCATGACCACTCATTCTGTGACTAAAATATGTGTAAATTTTCTATCACTTCCTTGTCACAAATAGAAACAGACTGACCTATTACTATTTTAAACTACTGTTATTTCCCCCCCAATATTTACTCTTTCCCCACTCCTCATTTCCACCCTGTCCTCCATTTCTGCTTTCTGGTCTAAAGATTTTCCTTGTGGTTCATTAGCAAAGTCATTCTCACAAAACATGCTTGAAGGCAACATTTTCTAGATTGTTTCACTGCCCAACTTAAAAATGACAAGAGTGCATTTCCTAAGCACTGCCCACATCTCTTTTTCACTGATAATCTAATGAGCTGTGCTCTTTCTGTACCCTGGGGAGAGACACAATGAGCCCTTGTCAAAAACAGAGCTCCTGTGCCACTTTTAATCTAATCCAGCTGGTTTCTAGCCTTTGGGATATTTACCCCTTGATTTGCCATCCCCTTTGTTATACTAACAAATTCCTATTCCATTCTGTGTTATCAGTACAGGCGTTTCTGGGACCGTTGTCACAATATCCAGAACCACCTCCCGTAATAATTTTTTCTGAGAGAAAACACCCACTTCAGTACACATTTTAAACTATTGTATATGGGCATGATTTATAAATAGTTATTATTGAGGTATAAATAGTATTATCCTAAAATAAGTGATCAAATATATAAGAAGGTTTTAAAGAGACAGCTATCAATCTACGTTCCATTTCATTTCTTTATCTTTTAACTTTGTCAGTGTATTTGGATGATGCAATATAGTCACCACTGGATTAAGCAAGAAGTGTAATGATTACTCAGGCTTATATAACACTTAAGAACTTGTTACTTCTATATGTAAACTTGGAAGGAGATTCTGTTCTATTCAAGGGAGAAAGAATAGATGATGTAAGCCCTGGGTTTCAATGAACCAACATTCAAGGGCAGTCTCATTTTCATTTTTTCAGCAGGACCATAATCTGACTGATGGCTTTGCCATCTGAAGACCGTGTGACCTCTTTGTTACAAGCTGACCTCTTTAAACATCAGTTTTTCTCATCTATAAAATGGGCCTAATTATTAATGCTTGCCTCATGAAACTATAATAATGATCAGTTATATGATTTATGTCAAAATATATACATAGTACACCAAAAACATATGGCATGTAGGTGTTAAATAAATATTAGCCCTTATTATCATTGCTGTTATTTTTCTTATTTCTCTATTACATAGCAGCTGCTATGATGAACTGTGTTTCCCATGCCTGTGGTCCCTCTAGGTTCTCATTTTCTACATAGGTTTGTTCTATCCATTCATTCTATGAACAACTGTGTTCCTAAAATGTATTAGAATGTGAGTTTCAGAGAACCCAGGACCTTGTCTGTATGGAAGAAGCAATACCAATGATTAATTAAAGCATGGCCTCTGGAGCCAAACTGACTGGCTTTTAAATCTGCCTTTACCACTTATTAGATCAATGACTTTGGGCAGGTTGCTTAACCTCTTAGAGACATGCTTTCCTCCTCTGTAAAATGAAGATAATTATAATAGCTGCCTCATAGATATTTGTGAGATTTGATTGTGTTAATATATGTGAATTAATTTAGAATAGTGTCTGACGTGTAATATAAGCTATATAAGTGTCTACTATAATTTTCATTCTTAGTGTTTTTTGCTCTATCGCTAACACGTGGAACAGTGACTGACACATAATAGGTATTCAATAAGTACTTGATCAATGGATGAACAAGTGCTAGACACTGGAAAAACAAAAGAGTTTAAGAGAATGTTTCTTATCTAGAAAAAAAATCTATAGAAATAAATAGAGAGGCTTACAGCTTGCCAGAGAGTTCACAGTCAGCATTCATACTCATCAGTCAGATTCTGTTCCCTCCAGTTCCAGGCTCCCTAACGTGGGCTGCACCACCAAGAAGTAACTGGCACACGGAAATTATATAACAACATGAGGCCAAAAAATAAAGGCAACACTGAAAGGTATTTTGTGACTGATGTGCTAATTAAGTAGTACAGAGACTATATAGGGATCTGCTATTAGCACATTTATTTTAATTCTACATTATTTCAACAGAAGCTAAAGAATAATTTCATATAAAATAGTAGCCAAATAATAACAACCTAGATACTTAAATACTTACTGAATATTTTAAAACCATTTACAAGAAATGCTGCCAAGATCCCCTGCAATGCCACATCATGAAGTAATCATTGCACTTGTGCCCCTGGCTTTCCTGTCCTACAAAGGAAGAGGAGTTGTTGTGAAAGCCCATGGCAATAGGGTAACCTTGAACTTGTTCACCTGCAAGCCCTAGGTCCCCACATTAGCACTTTCTCCCTAGAAAAGTGACTCATGTTAAATGGGACATTTTTATGGAAATTATTTTTTAAATGAGAAAAGCAAGTTTGGTGAAGCTGTAGGAAAATAAGGGCTTTCCTATAGATGGTATAAGAGTAAACTGGTTTGTATTTCCAGAAACACTTTGGGAATACGTAACAGCAGCCTTATAATATATATTCATGCAGTTTTGTCTAGCAATTTTACTTGTATAATTTATCCTGAAGAAATCACCAAATATGTGCACAAATATAGAAGAGGTTTACTGCAACATTACTTACAGTAGAAAAACTAGAAACCAACCAAACATGTTTCAGTAAGAGGTTACTTAAATCATTATGTCATAGCCATGCAAAACAGTGCTCCATAAAAAGAAGTCATGTTATTGAAGTACATTCAAAATACGGAAAAATGTTCCTCTGGATTTAAGGAGCGGATTCCAAAACAATGTGTGTAATACAGTCAGAATTGTTTAAAAATATATACCCAAATAGAGAGCAAATGGATAATTTTTATTCTTTTTTTATACTTCGATGCATATGTAGCACTTTTGTAGTCACAAAAACTATAGCATAATAAGAGAGACATTTGACCATTGCTTTCCTTTTTCTGCAAAAAGTATTCTGCTTGGCATTATAATGTATTGCTTTATCACAGAAAAAGGCAGAAGCAACCTTGTTTTCAAGCAACAACTGTACCTTATCTATTTTGGCTAATGCTATTAATCCATCAGTTCTGTCAAAGTATGATATAGATACTGAATTGTAATCACTGCAATTTAATCGTTAAATAAGATCATAATTCTATATATCTTCTTGCTTGAGTATTTCTCTTCACCTGCATAGATTTGACTCTAACATTGATTTTTTTCACTTTTCAGGTAAACAACTACAGTTTAGAAGAAGTAACACATGAAGAGGCAGTAGCAATACTGAAGAACACATCAGATGTAGTTTATCTAAAAGTTGGCAAACCTACCACCATTTATATGACTGATCCTTATGGTCCACCTGATATTACTCACTGTAAGTACCACTCTCTGTGTCTTCCTTGAATAGCATGCCAGGATGGTGAAATTGGGATTCTACAAAACTTGGTGAAGCCCTCTGCTTACACCTTCACATTCGTTAAGCCTGTGGGAATATTTCAGAGAGATCCTATGCTTCACTTCCTGGTTGCCTTACAGGGCTCTACCTAGTGTTTTGATCACCAAATAATCGGTGAGACACCCTGATTATTTGGTAGGTCCACCACTATAGAAAGGCTTCATAAGGTATGTTGTGGACAGTGTGATTACAATAACACATAGGCAACACATTTTTTAAGGTCTATTTCTTTAGCCCCTAAAGCATAGTAGCTTTTATGCCATAATATTTGCTCTTACTAATTCAAACCTATACAGTAGCAGATTAGGAAAAGAGAGACTGGCATAATAGACCCAGGATAATACTCTGCTTCTTCCTGGAAGAGGATCTTGTATATGAATGGTGAAATCATGGTCTTTAATCACCATCATCCTAGCTCTTACCTTTACCTAAATTTGGTACATTGGTAGGGAAGCCAGAGAAAATCTAATCACTATGTCAGTAGAGATGGCTTGGAGCAACAAGCCAGGGCAACAACTAACTATGAGACATTGTGCTTCCCATATTTTCTCCTCTTCTTAATAGGTCAAGAATCTTATCTAAGTTACTATCTTCAAGGACTGGATTTAGAAGCAATTCAGTTTTTGATTGAGTTGAAGGAATAGTTTTGTTGACATGAGTAAGTTTTCTCATTCTGAGGTTTTGAGGATCCTGTTGTAAGGTTGGGAACTCAGAATGTCTTCAGGATCTACCATTAAGTTCTACTATGGTCTTAAGAAGTCATTTAACCTCTCTTAGATTTAGATGTTTCTGTTGAGAGAAATTTAGAGGTGGAATAATTTTGTTACCTGCCCATTACATTAGCTATTGCTTTTCTTAATGGTGATTCTAAAAGGACTTGCAAAAAAATATGGCTGTTTTTTTTTCAAGCAGGCAATATACTAAGATCAATCTTACCTTACGATATGAAGGAGCTTAAACTTCCAAGTTGTTCAAACTGAATGACTTTAGAAAAACCAACCTTGAGACTTTGTGATCCACTTCATTAAGGGAATATGAGGTCAATGCAAAAGAAAGAGAAAAGAGAAAACAAACCTTGCTAAAACAATCGAGAAATAAGTTTTGAGAACTTTAATATGTGCAAAACACCTTGTAAGGTAATACGTCGATACAAAGGAGATACAATCATGGCCTTCATTGGAAAGAAGACTAATTCAGATATATAAATAGCAGCAACATATGGCAAAATAAAAGGAGGTGTATGCCAGGAAAGAGGTAAAAAATATCTCTAGAAGATCAAAAAATCTTTATAAAGAAGGTGGCATTTGAATTTTATCCTGAAGAATGGATGAAATTTCACTACCAGAGATAGAATAGGAGGCAGAAATTGTTGTAATTAATACAGCGGGACAAAGGTACAGATGTTGAGAAGAAAGGCTATGTTTGAGGACCATAGGACAAGTATAAGGGAAATTTGAAATGGGCCGATTTTGTAGTGAAAGGGAGAGTTAATATTCAATACTGTCATGGCAACGAGGGGCATTTAAGCTAGAAAAAAATAATGATCAGGGCTGGAATTCTCAATGTCTAAAATGGAGAGAGAGGCAGGCAGGAGACAGGAGGAGATTTTAGTCTCTCAAAGGGGAGATGAATTAGGATGGAGGAAAAGAAAAGAAAGGCCAGAGTTCTTAGCCTTTCTGGAATGTAAGTACAGTATAGTTAGGGATTAAATCTATAAAAGGACTTATTTCTAGGAGCCTTCAACTTTTGGTGATTGGAGATTAATTATGTAAAAGGAATGTGAGCTCCACAATTAGAAAGCTAACATTTTTATTCCAATAGAAAATTAATCATCATTCTGAAAAACATGTGTGTGCTGAATCTCTCCTCCAATTCTTCTCTTCACCTAATTATACTAACTGGGCTTATAGATATAACTGCTATTTCATCTTTCCAATCCTAAAGGTCACTATGTACTTGTACGTATAAATGAAAACAAACAGCAACTCCTCCATCATGGAGGATAAGAAAATCCTTGGCATGTAGCAAAGCCTTTTCATTTTTAACAAAACTATGATAGGACAAATTGATTCACCTACATAACAGGTTTTCTTTTCTTTTTTCACTTCGTAGCTTATTCTCCACCAATGGAAAACCATCTACTTTCTGGCAACAATGGCACTTTAGAATATAAAACCTCCCTGCCTCCCATCTCTCCAGGAAGGTACTCACCACTTCCAAAGCACATGCTTGTTGAAGATGATTACACCAGGTCAGATATGCTTGTTGGTTAATTGGGTTTGTGGCCATTACCAGGAAGAAATTGCATTTGCCTAGTGTGTCAGCTGTTGCTGTGGGGCTAATTGAAACTTCTGAGCACCATTCAAACTTATTATAGTCTTGCTGCCACTGGAAATGTGCAGATACTTGTAAACACGTGTCATTGTCCTCTCTTAGGAAGCAAAATCACAAAATCTTCCTGGAGAAATAGTAATATATACTTATTCATCACTTTGCAATTTTTAAGACTTTCAATATCTGGTTCTACTTGAGCTTTATAGCCATACTGTAAGATAGGTATTATTACCTGAAGAGAGAAGATGGTGCTGAGATTCGAAAAAAGGAAGTGGTATACCAATATTGCATATCTGGTGACTGGAGGAGTCAGGACTGAAACTTTTGTCTTTCGACTCAAAATTCCACTTCTTGCCATCAGTGGCCACCCACAATTCAATGGATTTGGGAAATTAGTCAATCCTCCTTCTAGTGCAATCACTATAGGCAGAAAGGAAAGGAGTGAAATTAACTATAAGTGGTTGAAATTTAATAAATCCTGTTAATCCCCAAGGGGGAACAGGATAAGATTTTAGAACAGACCACAGAATCACCTTGCTAATCCCAAGCAGTAAAGCCATATTTAGACAGCATGCATCTGAAAAAGTCAAGTCTGACAATCCACAGAGAAAACCAACCTTTAGTTATATCTATTAAGGATTCAATAAATACTGGGTAATTAGTAAATTAATAAATAAATGGGTGGATAGAGAACTAAAAATGCATACTTTTCTCTTTTGTATCTTTAAATAGTTTTATACCAAAGTAACCTGTGCTCATTGCATTTGGTGAAATAATGCAAAGATGTTCAAGAAACCAAACTTGCCCTCCAAACTCCCTCCAGGACAGCTGCTCCTGAGGTTCCCAATGTGACATTCTGGCATAAACCATTAATACCTTCTCCATGTCTACACAAACCCATAAAGTGCATACTCAGGCATAGGTGGGGCTCAACATTGTTTTTACAAAATAAGTTCAGATTTAACACATTGCTCTGCAATTTGCTTTTCTCAGTGAACAATACTCTTCCCAAAATGAGATTACATAAGATATGTACACTTTTTTCTGAAAGTGTTTATATATAAAAATACTAGAGATGAACACTTTTGACTTCCTATCCTGACTATTTAATTAAGCCATTTGTCAGCCATTAAAAAAATAGAGGAGACTTCCTGCATTTGTTTCCTTGCTGGTACCAGTGCATGCTGTGGTCTTTTCATTTCTTTGCTATTTATTTTTAAATGATTAAGCATTTTCCATTTATCATGCAATTTCAGGTTTGCTGAAGTAGCTTGTTACATCTATAGCCAAGCAATGGAATGTTGAGATGCTGTAAATGTGCATCTGTGGTGTAAATCAAATATAAACTTATCCTACGATGAAATATTTAATCTCTATGTTCTTCATTGAAATTAAGGTTGCAGCAAAGATAATAATCATCATGGTTATCTCAAGAATTATGTAAATATAGGCACCTTTATTCCCCAGAGTAATGATCTATTTGTTCTCATCCTATCTCTTATATTTAATATGTTTTTAATTTAAAATATTTCATCTTACTAAGCCCCTTAATGAATTAACATTATTAAACAACATTCACAATCCAGGCCCTTTGTGAGCTATTTTGCATACACTAGCTTTTTTTTTTTAATTTTTTTATTGATTATGCTGTTACAGTTGTTCTATTCCCCCCTTCATTCCCCTCCACCCTGCACACCCCTCCCCACTATTACCCCCCCTTTAGTTTATGACATACACTAGCTTTTTAAGTCTCCCAAAAACACAGGAAGGGGGGGCTTTCACCCCCATTTTAGAGATGTAGAAACTGAAGCTCAGAGATGTTAAGGAACTTGTTTGTGATTGCACAAATTTTAAGGAGAAAAAAACTGGGTACCCAACCTGCTTTAAAATCTTGGCTAGAAAGAAATATTTTAATTTTCTGCTCATTTTTAAAATGAATGACAACTCATAGGAAACTCTGATCATCATAGAAATGTGTGGGTAGAGAGGGACCCAAGACTTGGCAAATTCTAAAGACCAATGTAGCAGGATGGAGACCTACTTCCACCACTGGCTAACTGTGTGACACTGGGCAAGTCATGCACCCACTGCAAGCCTCGGTCTCCTCATCAACGTACAGGGAAGAGTAGTCACAAATCCTCAGCAGCTTGTTGCAATAATTAAATGACACAGTGCATGCAAACCACTTATGAGGGTGCCTAACACAATAAATATTAAATGAAAGTTATTTATTTAGTAGAGCTATATTTACTCCAATTCTTAATCCACCTAAGATGTCACATGTAATATTTTAAATGATGCCTGGGGAAGAGAGTCCATTTCTCCTTACAATGATATGCTTCATTATCATACTTCTTGCCCCACTTCCTCCCTTATTCTCTGGCATGACAATCTCACTTGAAACTCAATAAAAATCCTCTGCACGACTGGTGCCCAGCACACTTGTGAAGTAAATTCTGTCAGTACACACACCTCTCCACTACTCTCCCCGCCGTGGCTGTGTTCTCTGACAGGTTTCTGGGCTGTAGACATTGCCATCGACCTCAGGGGTATTCGCTCAGAGACACGTTCCCACTTCATTCATAAATATTCATAAAATATTCATAAAAGTATTTATTTTTTAATACTTTCTCTAGACGGTGAGCACCACACTAAGAATGCAAAATGAATGAGAAAAAATATCTCTAAGAACTATCAAATTAGGACGTAAATATACTTACACCAGTAGATCCTCCAATGCCTGTTACCTAAAAATGTAGACTCCCTCCATGAAGTTTCCGTAAAGCTTAATCTATCAATTTTTTTAAATCCTGAGATTTTATATTTTGGTATCTAATGCCATTTTTTGTGTGGTGGTTTATTATATCCTTACTTAGAAAATTAAAAATTGGCAACTTAGTATTAGTCCTCACTTTTTAAAAGGTCTATAAAATCCCAACACATGGGAACTACTAACAGAAATAAAGAAAACTAGACCCATTCTTCAAAGTGCTCTCAGGTCACCCTAGCAGAGTTACATAAAAGGCACTTAGTAAATATTTATAAGTGAATTTGGGTTTTACTCGAATGTCAGAAGAACAGCCTATGGCATCAGAGAAAGTTTTAATGAGAAGGTAAGTCTGGAGTTGGAGCTCAAAAAAACATGTAGGCATTCATCAGAAAGTCAAGAGAGGGAAGGTCATTCACGGTGGGGAACAGCATAGGCAGACTCAAGGAAGAATGTGAAATAGAATAAAATGAAAATAATTATTACAGTTTGAAATGTAAGGCTCATAAAAAGAAATAGTACCTTCCTTTAAATTATCTCTATATTCCTATCCTTTCTCTCAACCTAGTTGTAAAATGAAAAATACATAGAGTAATAAAAACAAAAAGATTACTACTATGCACTATTAACACTAAGTGTTTCCTGTATATTATTGCCTCTATATTATGTATATGATATTCTTATTCTTGATTTTTTACAGGGAACAAAATAAATTTAAGTCATTACTTCATATCACACAGCAAACAAGTAGCAGAATCAAAATTTAATTCCAGTTAGTCTGTCTTCAAAGGCCTTGCCTCCACACTCCTACCCCTCATCTCATGTGGTCTCTTTCCATCAAGAAACATTGAATAGAGGACCAGGTTTATATCAGGAGACTGGCTTCTAATCTTGACCCTGATACTTACCACCTAGATGACCCTGAACAAATCACTTAATCTCTCAGAGTCTTGATTTTCTCATCTATAAATCTAGATAAAGGCTCTTCTAATTCCCTAATGGAACTGTGAAATTTTCATGTGACAATATATATGAAAGTTGCCATCTTTGTGAAAGTTGTCATCTTTAGAAGACTACATAAAATTATTATTTAGTATTATTTAATATTAAAATATTAGTATTTAATATAAGCATATAGTAGCTTATATTTGAGGCCTAGTTTGTATTTTTCTAAAATAGTAAATAAAAGCAAAAGATCTTTAGTGATGGGACTTAGACTGATGGGGAAACATTTCTATGAAAATGGGACCTTCAATGACCATATCAAGTTGACAGCCTTTTATTCCATATGTTCATAATACCTTATGATGTTGTAAAAAATATTTCTCTATTTTCTTGATTTATATTCACTTTTGTTGGGAAGTATCATAAGAATTTTTAAAAGAATTGCGATTGGAAAGACTTAGCTGGAATTTTAAAATAAATCTCTGTCTTACCGTTTAAAGAAATGCACACATGAGTGAACTAGGAAATTTTGTTTTTCCATTGATTTATGAAAGAGAACATAAACAAAAAGGCCTTGGGTAAAATTCTCTTAACAGAAAGCCAGTTGAGTCCCCTGTAAATTAAGTGATGTAAGTCCTCTGGTCCTCGATTTTTAGAAAAGAAAGCTATTACAATGATGCTGAGATGGTTTTTTGGTGCAAGGAATTATAGACTATCACAGCTATAAGTGCCATAGATGAATAGAGAGTCTAATCTTCCTCTTTTTGGTGGATAAGAAACACAGAATGATTTGTTAGGTGTCCTAAGTCTCACAACTTGTAAGAGGTAGAATCAGATTTAGAATCTATGTTTTCAGATACCCAACCTAGCATTCTTTCTATTTTTCTAAACTGATGTTCACTGGTTTGTTTGTTTTTTTGGTTTTTTTGTTTTTTTTTGGCGGGCAGGAGAAATGGAGTAAAAAGGTAACAATTACAAAATGATACAATCAATCAATCAGTGGTCATCTATGAGCAGTGCCCACTTTGTGCAGTACCTGCAACAATGGATTCCACCTCTACTGAGGAAGTCTTCCCTGGTCACCCAGAAGAGGTGCAAGCCACACACTCTCACCATCCAGCTAAATATCCTCAGGATATACAAATAAGTCATTGGCACGAAATGACACCAAAAACACTGGGGATGCACAGTAAAACGACTCTTTC